CAGCAGGAAAATGCCTTGGGAACTGCCAGGAAGAGCTCAAAGAGACGTTTGAGGGCCACAAGGAGAGAATGAACACCTGTGCAAGCGACCTTTGACTGGACAAGAATCAGCTTATCGAGAAGGATGAGTTTAAGGCCGTACGGAGAAGGAACTTGAGGCATCGTGAACCTCGTCACTTCCGAAGGGGGAATGCCTGGCGGTGGCTTGGCCATGGCGCGCCTGGTGCGGTTTCTCGAGGAGGTGGACTGAGACAGATGAGTCAGCAGCAAGGTCGTGTCGAATTCGATGTACTCAAAAGAAGCGCTTATAGTTGTACAGGGAAGTGGTGAAAAAAGACATAGAGCCAAGTGACATCCTTGTTCATTCTTGAGAGTGGTAGGTGTAAAAACAAACGAAGAACATGTGTCTGATCCGCCTACGCTGTTTGAACGCTGAGGGAACCCTGAGCGGCTTACGGCGTCCAGACCTATACCACGGGCACTGAAAGTGACAATAGTGACAGACGCTCGGTCGAGTCCATAGAGTGACAGACTCAGATTGTGTCCACAACAAGATGGCCTGCCGATGGTGAATAGTTTGGGAAGCCGATTCTAAGACGGCCCCAAAAGGTGTGGGGCCCATCGGCCAATAAGACCCCTTTCTGCCTACAGGATCCTACAGGTAACAAAAACTTATGGTATCAGCTTCTTAAATGGTGTATGTGCAAAGATGGGGTTGTGGTGCTCAATTCAAAATCGAGAATCAACACACTAGCCTGTGAACCGTCTTATTGATATGGAATGCTTACACACATCTAAGATCTGCATTTCAGTGCCATCTGTAGCAAAAAAGCGAAACAAAGCACTCTGTGTGCAGTGTTCTCACCATTGCTTTCCTGGCAGCCCTGTACTGCTGGAGTTGAGAAACGTGTTTTAATTGCTGCGGCGAGTCAAACATAGAGAATTCACGGAATGGCAACTGAACAGCGTGCCGAAAACTGCCAATCTCAGATGGTGAGTCAACACCCCGCCTCCCTGTTGTTGAGCTCCCTGGTATTCTGTTCATTTTCGACACCTGTTTTTGAGCCAAACCCAGATGGGTCAAAACCTGGAGCCCCAACACGATGTAGCTGGACCTTCCAAGTAGGTCAACCGGTCGGTATCCTGGTTTTGATCCAAAGCCGGATGTTCAGTCCGATGTCTTGACTCGCTGCCTGCAGTTGTTTTCCGCACCTTTTTGGGTCTCCGCGAAATCCGTAGAGGCCTTTGCTGCGCCCGATCCCTCCGCTGCAACTCGCAAGCCGATTCCTCCGTCGACAAAGCCAGGGCCCACTGTTTTGAGCCTCATAGAGGGCGGTGAATGGAGACGAGCGAAGTGCCAGTTATGCTCTTGTATACAGGCGAGACCAGCCACGGCGGAAAGCTATCGGATCATACAAAAACCAAAGTCAAATAGAGATTCGGCCACAGCATAGGACAGCTTCTTCTGTTTGCCTATTCTAATTATTTGGTCTATTTTTTGTTTTTCATCTCAAGCAAATCTGACATGTTTAATTGATACTGACACACAGAATCAAACAACTAGCTCTAGAATCGCTATTGACGAAGTAAATCTTAAGCCTTCACATGACGCTCTGGCTTTTGCGACCCTTAATCAGCGCTTGCCCTTGCTTTCGGTGGAGAGCCTGCACGAGAGCTGGACTCCATGCAATCAACTGAGAGCATTCTAGTTGAACTGTGAAACTTAGAGTCTAGAGGTAGTGAGAAGGCTACGTATGATCGACTATGTTTGTTTGAAGTCAGTTGCTGCTTTTGAGGTTTGGAATTCTAAATCAATCTCAAGCCGTCTTAAACCAGAGTTTGAGGAGCTCAATTTGCTACGAGCTGGAGAAGGAAATGGGTTGGTCTGTGATTGTGCATGATCTCCCAAAGGTAAAACGTATCACGTCGGCCGGAAGCCCGCAGCGAAGCTCGCTCGCAGGAAAAAAGCCCGCCTGGATCTCAACTCCCTTCTGCCCAGGGCCCTTTGAAAGAGAGTTAACTTGCCATTTTTCGGGGGTTGAGGCTCAAAACCTGGTTCCGCGTCGTCTTCTCGACCGCACGTCGTCTTCAACCGCACGTCGTCGGCCGGAGCTCCGGTGCTGGTGCCATGACGTCTGGGTCGGAAGGCCTGGCAGGTCTTCACCCTTACTATTTGAGCTCGTCGAGTCATCTCAAGATCTCTCAGAATGACCAACCTTAGATGGGTCGCGAAAGAGTCGTAAAAGGTGGGTGAAGCAAGGTCCGGTCCTGGTTGGTTCCAAAGGCTTTCAAAGGACTAAGTGATTTTTCGCATGGCACCAATATAGCCGCTTTAGTGGTATTTGGATGTTCAACCTTCACTGGAAATGATGGATCACTTGAACAAAGTTGTACTTATCATCAACTACTACTTTCCACCGGGTTTGGGGATCTCTTTCGATCGGGTCACGAAGGTCGGTACTGGAATGACTCCGCGACGAGGATACATAGGATGGTAAACAATTGGTATGATAATGTATGATAATGTATGATATATATATATGGATATATATGTATACGGATATATATATATATATGGATATATATCATATATATATATTGAGATATATATATATATATGAACACCTATGTATATATATATATCTATATGTTTTTAATAACATGATATAACTAAATATATTATATGTGTATACACGTACATGATATAATTTAAGATGCGTTTGTCATAGGCACACGCAACCACAAATACTTTCTTTCTGAAAAAAGAAGTGCAGGGCAACTTGCTTGACGCCAACTTTTGCGTTCTCTCAAAGCTGTAGAGCCCAGACTCACGTCGCGCGAGCAGCACCAGAGACGGAGCAGTGCCGCGGCAGGAAGCGCCCAGTTTTCGTTCCCGGGCAGCGCGTGGGAAAGAACTGGTTTTTGGAGGGAAGAGTGGACGGTCCCATCGGATGAGTTTCCAGGATGAGTTGGTTAGCCGAATGGCTGGGCGTACCTGAGGCCCATGCCAAGCGGCTTTGATTATTCCAAGCCACTTGGCCACATCAAACGGTCGATTCGGAGACGTCACGAGGAATCACCGGAGCTCTACAAATGTCAATCTGCATTAAGGCTTGGTCCAAGTCCGGTGGTTTTGAATGCAATCATGTTGCCCAAGTCGCGTGAAGCTGGATTCTCATCATGTGTTTCTTCAAGTTTTTTTTTTTTTTTTTTTTTTTTTAAAGGATATATATATATTTAAATTGTTTTTGTTAATTTATTAATGATGTATTGCTATATATATATATATATTTATTTTTTCCCGGGCTCCAGAGACTCCACAATCATCGACCTGCCGGCTTCTTGCCTTCGTCTTAAGGTGGAACAACATCGAGTTGTCAGATGATGAGGAGGATGTTGGAAGACCCAGACATCAGCATGTCTACTTCCAGCCCTTGCTTTTTCCAGCGATGTCCGATTTCGGAGGGAACCCCAAACTCATCCAAAACGACATTCTATCAAACTTCTGGAGCCGCAGCTCGCCCGTGCACGAGAGACGTCGCCCGTTCGCAGCCGTCGCATGTCCTGTCTTCGGACCTTCGCAGTTGAGGTGCATCCGAACATCGACAAAGCCTCGTGGTGAAGTCCTCAGGATGGGAAGGACATAGAAGGAGACGGGTTCTAGCCAGAGCACATACTTCACACCTCACAAGAATAAACAGGAACACAAATAAAAAATAGACTAACACTATAAGAAACCAAATCACATCGAGATGTCTGGCCTGACTTCGGTTCGACCAGGTGGCCCGGACCGGACCGTCTTGACATGTCTGGAGCGTCGCGGCTCGGGCCGCGAGTCTCAGACCAACAGAGGGACCCCCTTTTTGACTCATGTTAGACTCTTGATTAGTAACCACCCCATTTATGAATTGGAATCTCTTTTTCACATTTGGGGGGTGAAATATCTATCATCAAGAGTCTAGGACGAGGTCTCCCAGCTGGGCACCTCGTCCTGACGGTCACAAAAATCACAAAACCTCTCTTGAGATGTAGGGGCGACGAGCTCCCAGGTGTTCCGACCTCTTGGACGCTTCGGGAAATAGACCTGTAGTCTACCCAGCCAGGGCCAGGGGGTTTTCCTATATTAAAGGACATCGCCATGTGCCCATTTGTGCTTCTATCGCAGCCAACGTGGCTGGAGCAAATGGGAGCAAGTGATCAGCTGGCGACCATTCTATCCATTGAGTGGTACCGTAGTAGCAGCCCTGCACTCTCTGTGGAACAAGTGTCTAGTTTGAGGTAATTCTGGAATCTAGGGGAGAAGCCGAGACACACCTTGTTTGGCATCATCATTGAATCATTGAATGATCGAAGAATGATAAGCATCATATAATCATATCATTCTTCTTTTGGTTGTCGGTTGTTCTTCTTCTTCTCCTCCCTCTTCTTACCTGGCTTTTCCCGTGTCTTAAATGCGAGTGATTCACTGCTGCATTTTGCGGCTGCAGGTTCAGATACAAGCACCAGACTCGAGTAGAGAGAGATGAGGACGAGGAGAAAAAGCAGCTTGCTCTCGAGAAGCAGCTTGAGAAGCTACAGAAGGACCCTGCGCAGAGCGCAGCACACGACGATTGGTCATTTCGCACGAAGATTTCATTGATGGATTTCGTAGGCGGTGCTTTCTGAGAGACTCTGGTATGCTGATGTATGCTGGTGGGCTGTGCTTTGGATGTGATGGTAGTAGTGTTGTTTCCCTTGTGTCCTTTGGATTAGCTCCCTGGACGAAAGCATGCTTTCCAAAACTGGACAGCCACAAAAAGGATGAGCTTGCAGATCTTGCGATCCAAGACAGGCCCATGAAAATGGCAAAAAAGATACAGAATCAAGAGTTCTATGAAACCAATGATGAACAATAGCCTTTTAGAACCAGCTCTTTCGGTTCTCTCATGATGTCGAGGTGCACTCCGAAAGACCAGCAGAGACCCATTTTGGAACAACTGAGATCGAACGTGGGGTCAGGTCACAAAGAATATACACATGATAAAGAACGAAGAGAATCATCAACATGACCAGGCTAGCGGAGCATGACTGTGCAGCATCGCCTCGAAAGGTTCTGCCTCTATTTGATGTTAATGCTTTTGGCTCAGGCTAGCGGCTAGTTTTTTAGACTTTCGCTTTGTTGTTCCCAGGAAAAAACGCCCTGGACGATGTCTGGTGCACCAGTGGCGGCCAGCGCACCACCGATGGAACTGGAAATTACGGACCCGACACAGCTGGCGCAGCTGACCCAGCAAGCCTTGGCCACATGCACCGGCAATAAATTTGACTTCAACGTCATTGGCCACGACCTTCAATTGGTTGAAGTCCTCCTCAAACCCGGCGACAAGATCATTGCAGAGAGCGGCTCACTTTGCTTTCTAGAGCCTGACATCACCTTTGAGTCGCAATTCAATGATGGCTCAAGGCCAGAGGGCAGCTGGTGGGAGAACATCAAAGATGCTGGCAAGCGCTTGTTAGCCGGCACTTCCATCTCCATGCTGCACATTGAGAACAGTGGTTCACAAATTCGCAAGGTCGCCTTTTCTTCTCCAATCCCCGGCCACACCATGGGCATAGATCTGGGGGCAATGGGTGGCTCCATGATGTGCTCACGGCATGCTTTTTTGTGTGCAGCCAAGGGAACGAGCATCCAGGTGGGATTTACACAGAAATTGTCGGTGGGTCTCTTTGGCGGCGAGGGATTTCTGTTGCAGTTGTTGCAAGGCAATGGGCTGGCATTCATCCATGCTTGCGGGGCAGTCGTCAGGCGCGAATTGAAAGAGGCCGAACAGCTCCGCGTGGACACAGGCTGCGTCGTGGGCTTCTCTGCCAGCGTGACCTTCGACATTGCGCGCGTGGGTAGCATCAAGACATCTCTGTTCGGAGGTGAAGGTATTTTCTTTGCAACCCTCACGGGCCCAGGCGTCGTTTGGCTCCAAAGTGTGCCTTTCAGAAAGTTTGCTCTGAAACTGTACAGTGAAATGCCTCATGTCACTCAACACAAAGAATCTTCTGGTAGCAAGGACTGACAGTGCCCCTGGCCGAAGCTCAGAACGCGGCACAGGGTCCTCGTCCTCCGCATGGAACAGCCTGAAGGAAGCAAAAAGGCATCAGATCCGTGGCCGAAGCTTTCCATGTGACCCGATTATGAGAGGATGTCAGCATTCTTTGCACCTGCAACAAGGCTGCCAAACCTTAAAGAGCAAAAGACAACGGCGGGAAGTGGTAGATCGGTAGGTCCTTTTGGGTTTTCAAAATGTTCGGCCAGGAGTATGATAGCTTTGGAGAGGGAGGCAAAGATCATTTGAAAGCAAAAAAAATCAAGGTCGAGCTTGATAAGGCTGGAATGGCACACTACTCAAGATGTACCACTTTGCAGTCATACAGCCGAATTCAAGGCCGCCTCTTTTTGAGCCTCAAGTAAGATCAGACATTTGTGGTCCAAAATCTCTACTACCGTACGTAGAGTTGCGCCTGGAGGTCCAAGAAGAACTGGAGACCATGGAGAAGAACAAGATGCATGGTTCACATTCTGGACAAAGTACACTCACTTTAGCTTTTGAGTGCGCGTTTTTTTTGGTTTCCCCATGCCCATGTTACAAGCCAATCATGAGACGTACTCAGCACAAGAGTCGAGGCATGTTTCTGAACACCAGGCTGTGCTTCACAAAGCAAGCTGGCACCACTACTAAACAATCTTCCGTTGCCTGAGGAAATGGAATGCAGATAACATGTGCAAAACAGCTGGCGCTGGCATTGTTTAAGACAGACCATACGGACTGGACAAAAAGCAAGTCCAACTGCTGAGTCCTGTTGCGATAGAAGGAAGACGAGTTGCTCGATTGCGGGCATGGTCATATTGTAAAAAATAACAATATATACACTGTGTATACAGTGTATACACACCGAAAAGCACCATATTCACATCTATCTTTGGGAGATCGCTGTCCGATTCAGTGCATGGCACAGGAACTCGATCGCTCCGCCAGGTGGAGCAAAAGACCGTGCTGTCCGACAGCAAAGACACTCCGGGGCCCGGTATCCCCACGGTCGAATGGGGCGAATGGAGGGCGTCAGGCTGTGTTCGTTGAAGTCGATTTGGAGTTGGGTCATGGCACCAGAATACCTTGGTTGATTTACCAAAGTGACTTGCGCAAGATCCAAGACGCTTCCCAACAGCCCTTCACCGTATGGTGGGTGCTGGGGAGTTGGTTGATCTACCTGATGTCTGTTGACCTACCCACATGGTGGACCAAGGCTCCAGGTTGAACCCATCCCCAGTTTGCTGTTCGTTTTTCTCCTATCTTTCCAGTGTCCTTCAACCCCCGAGAGCCTTGACCCGATGCATTAAACCGGGAGTGTCTTCTCACCGCAGTGCTTGGAGGCCTGAACCCCGACTGCAGGGAGAAGCTGTGGCCCAAGGCGCGAGGCTCTGGTTCTGACGAAAAACCAGCACCTCCCAGAGGGGTTTTCCATCTGCTGAAGTCGGATGGCTGTTGGATGGAGTCAGATGGCTGTAGCACCAACACACAGATGCACGACGTGTTCTTTTTTTAAAGGATGTTCAGGGAACCACGTTGGACCAACAAAAGCTGGGCGGGTGCGGGAGGGGCGGGGGGGGCGGGTGGGGCCTTGAGGAGAAGTGACATGACTTGGGAGATGGAGATGGGCCCAGAAAGGGTAGACAACTCCACCTGTATTTTCTGGGGGTGGGTGGGGGAAATACTTGATTAGAAAGTCGATGGCGTTTACAAAAATACTATATACCATCTATAGGACTTTAATAACGACAGCCACTTACGCCATCCATGAACACAAAAAACGCCCTGAAAATTGCCAAACTCGACCGCGAGAACCTCGCGATTTTTTTCGGTATGTTTTGGCAGTGGATGTGAGCCATATAACTTTCACATTTGCAAGTTCTTATTCATATGTTGCTCCGCCCAAGTTATTATATAAGTACTGCAATACTCTTTAAATGGCTTCTTGTTGAAGCTGTCCTTGTGCTGTTCACCTTTTTTGGGGGGAAGCGTCGGGCATGTTGCCGAGTTGCCTGAAAAAAAAGGTCGTGCTGGTTGTCAGTCCAGGGAGTGCAGAAGCTGGGACTTGAGCATCGTAGCTTTAATGAGCAGTGCGCCATCTATGTGCTAGAATGCAACTCTCTCTCTCTCTCACTCTTTGCAAACTTCCCTCTATATTTTAAGTGATATGACTTTCCCAGTTTGCAAGATTTTGGGATTTTAAGATGATGCACATGTACATGCGAGTTGTGCCATCAGTGTATCTGCCGTCTCGTTTGAGTTGCACCATCTATTTTCCGCCCGGTGTATGAAGAAACCGATACCCTCCCAAGGAACGTGCTGGGGTCGAAAAACCATGGAAACCAATAACCAATAGGGGGAACCATCAAATTATAGCACGTCAAGCGGGCTACTGCATGTTGGCCGGCACTCACTTCACCTGTGGACCTTTTACAAGAAGTCGAATTGACACGAACCACACAAGCTGTGATAGGCTATTGCGAGTTTGTGGAGGAGAATGAGGTGTCTGGGCTCGGCTTGGGTCAAGTTTTTGGCGCTTGCAGCTTGGACTTTTGATTGCGTTCACTGTCGGTTTTTGTTCTTGAAGTGACTTAGAGCCTTAGCAGCACCTCCAAGTACTGCACTGTATATTGTATATGAGCTTTTGTACACTCGTGAAAGCCAACATCTCACTTCAGCCTACCACATCATATTGCAAGAACGAACGAAGGAACGAAGAAACCAGCAGAATAAAGGCATCTGATTTGGCAGTGGGTCAAAGCCAGGGGACCCTTGTCATCCTGGTTGACCACCGAGAAATGAACAGAATAGACTACCAGACGTAGTCAACCCACCAGCGTTTGGAGCTCCAGGTTTTGACCCACTGCCATTTGGTTGAGTTTAGGCTGAAATTGTCAGCTCAGGCCTTCGACCTGGTTTTGATTTGATTGCATAGTCATAATTTTTGGGTGCATAGAGCTACATAAGATGCTGCGAGCGCTTAAGCACTAGATTTGTTGAGTGTTCCGGACAGACTTGCCAGGACTTGTTAGAGAGCTACATAGCACTTGGAGAGGAGGAGGAGAGGTCATTGTGTGGTCTTATTCAGCTCTTTCACTTCCAACATTGCTTTCACAGTCGCCTTTCGTCACTCGCATGTCTAGACTAGAAGCATGATGAAGCACGTCCACGTCCTGCTTTGGACAGCTTCCGGAGGACCTGGAAAAAGTGGGCAACTTTCTCCGAGCGCACGGCGGGAAGCTCTTGCAGGGTGAGTCTCGGCAAATGTGGCAAACACCACACGGTTGAGCCTTGGGATGGCATGGGCAGTTGAGCTAGTGCTCTTCATCTTAGCCAACATGCTCAACTGCTCAACGTACCAACCATCTGCTGAGCCAAGGAGCACGCAGAGTGAGGATCCCAGGGTGAGGAGTCAGGGTTGCAGCCTGGGTGGGCCTGGTTTCAGATGGTTTCAGTTCAATGTGCAACTTCAACTTGCACTTCTGGTATGGCTATGTATGGCTTGCTTCAAAGATTTTTGAAAGGAGGGATTTTTGTAGGACAGACCTCCATTTCATTTGTGCTTTCGCGTGTTTTCCACAGGCTAGCTACTAGCAAGGTTCTTGGAAGGAGTCATCGGACATCCTTGGGCCGTAGGTCGTACCTGCTCTTGGATTGCCTGGAGAAGGAAATGAACGGCCTTCACCAGGCTCAGCTTGGTCATGTATTGTGTGAACAATCTCCTGTCGGACTATGATGGACAATGTCACGCTAGTCAACCTTGGCACTTTCGACATACACGCTTTCGTAAGCGAGCGCGGCCCGTCGCTTGTGGACAGGAGATGACGCAGTCGGTGCGACAGTCCTGCACTGAGCTGGGAGTCGCTTGAAAAGCTGCTTGCCGTCGCTGTTCTTGAAGCCGCTTGAGGGCGAAGCGCCAAGGACCGTTGCAAAATCATTCTTCTTTAAATCCGATGAATTGAGTCAGCAGTGCAGCGAAGATTGACGAGAGCCAGACATTTAAGATTCTTGCTCCTCTACTCGTACGGAGGTCCAGAAATGCCTTGAAGATCGTTTTAGGAGGATTTAGAGTGATTTACTTTTTGATCTCTTTCGGGGATCGAGTGTTGTCTTAATACCAACGCCAAGCCTTTGGCGCCTTCACCTGACAGCCTCAGATACCAACTTCTCGTGCAGCTGCGAGAGTTCAGCCGTGCAGCAGGCCGCCCGGCACGTCCGGGAGCCCGGGACTTGTCGCGTCGGGTCTTGGCCTATAGGTCAGTGGATGCTTCACTTCTGGCCCTTCTTAAGCACCATCAACCAGGACCACCCAAGCAGAGGAGTCACAGGGTCAGTCACAAGTTCTTGGGCCAATCACTGTGGCTTTTCGTGGCTTTTCGATCGATCCTTTGTGACTGTCCTAACCCGTGTGGAACGACCGGCCTTCCGCGTGGAACGACGGGGAAGGGACGCGCGCACCGTGGCGATGGAGTGGGCGTGCGAGGACTCGGAGATGACTCGTGTCGTGTCAAGTGATTGACTTCAGACAGATCCCATGTGGGCAATATACATGCCTACGACGCCCAAAACTTACCCCAATGTAGGCAAACATGGCAGTTCCATGGAGTGTGTGGTAATGAGGTTCAGAATCATGGCACATGGATACCACTTTCTGTGTGCTAGTGCTAGAATCAGCGGCTATAATTTGAAAAGAGTGTGCACCAGAATGAGAACCCGCTACACTCTAGCGGATGTTCGTTCTTTTACACATCCTTTCACATCCTTTCACACATCAAGGTCCTCACCGTCCTCACGAGTCGCCTCCCTCTGATCTAAGGCGACTCGGTGAATCCCATCTTCCAGCGCCTCATCGAGCAGCTGGGCGGACATTAATTGGAAAAGGGACATTAAGACATGACAAGACAGAGATTTTTCTGCAAAACCCTGCAGGCTGAAGTATCCTTAAGTATTTACTATGGTGCATGCTGTTCTTTTTATGTCAGGGTGATTTCTTTCATCCCTCTATGGCTCCAACTACCGTTTGGATGGTGGTGGGTGCGGTTCTTTCCCTATCATTTTTTCGGA